CATTCTTTTTTTTCTCTCTGTCAAAAATAAATAAAAATAAATAAACTTTTAAAAATAAAATAAGATTTTACTGAATACTTCCAAAGTGTGTATTGTGAAATTTATAGTTTAGCTTTATCTTCTAAGTCAAAAAATTTTTTGCTTTCTTATATAGCAAAACCACTTGATATTTTAAATACTGTATATACATGAAAGGATTTACAATTAAAGTCACTTTTTCAAGCAGATGTATGTTCCATATATAACTACATATTCACTCCTAGTTACCAGAGTGATATGGAACAGTATGTTTAAGAACTTCTTTGTGTTTCTAGAGTTTCAACAAATGTATTGAAGATGATTTTGGCTTTCCATTTGCAATGACTAATCTCTCCAAAAATGGGGAAAACGTTGATTCAGGTAAGAAACTGGAACAGCAATACATGACTATATGTGTAAGCATTTTTTATATATACATTGTTAGATATTGAAAATGTAAGTATTATATTGATAGCCTTGACATTAAAGCTAGATATAATACTTGACCTAAAAAATAAGGTGTTGGCATACTTAATATCAGTTGTCTTCTATCTTGCAGATCCTGCTTTACAAAAAGTTAAGGTTTTGCCCATGCTTGAACAGGTCAGTTAAGTATAACGTACAATACTATAACATATAACATGTTTAGGTCTTGAGTTGCTTGTTTGAAAAAAGGAAAAAAAATTCTTTATTTGTTGGATTACTAGCCTTTAGTATTTAATTGCTACTATTTGGAAACTCTCATCAGACATATTTTCTTACAGGAAACATTTATTCGTTTTTTTAGGTTGATAACTCTGACAGTTGTCACTACCAGGAAGGACTAAAAGACTCTGATTTTGAGGTCAGAAGTTTTCCTATCCATATTCAATTTATTGTAATTGGAGTATCATTTATTCTTATTTGTTTATATTTTTCTTTTGAAGCTTCTAAAGGATTAAAATTTGGCTAATGTTTTAAGTTATATCCTTCAAAATCTTTTTCCCCTCTTTGTTTTTCTTTTAAAATTATTGAAACACTAGGCTTCTGTATTTTCCTGGGTTATACAAGCAACCATCCTTTAAGAGAAATTGAATTATAAACTATAGCAAGAATAGAAGAGGGGCTGTGGCTACAATTTCATAGGCTTAGCTTATGAAAAGGCTGAGAATCAAGTCACTATTTTACAAATAAAACTAATAGGTATGATTGTTTGGCTGGTTTGCTGTCTAAGGAATTTTTTTTTTAAGGCTTATTTATTTTGAGAGAGAGCACAAGCAGAGGAGGGACAGAGAGAGAGGGAGAGAATCCTAAGCTGACAGCACAGAGCCTGATAAGGGTCTTGATCCTGTGAAATGTGAGATCATTATCTGAGTCTGGTGCTTAACTGACTGAGCCACCCAGGAGGCCCCAGAGCATGTGACTCTTAACCTCAGGGTCCTTAGTTCAAGCCCCACATTGGGTGTGGGTCTACTTAAAAAAAAACAAACAAAACAAAAAACCAACAGAGAGAAACTATGGCCTGATAAAATGCTATATGTTTGTTGCTGTGATTATAGCATCACAGAATTTAATATTCATATATTTTGATAGCAGAGCTAATCAGAAAACAGAAATCAATATGATTTAAAAAATACAAACTCTGGCATTACCTTATAATGTTGAAATGGATAATGAAGGAAATCCAAATAAAATCTAAATAGAACCTGAGAATAAAAAAAAAAAGAAACTGCGAATAAATGAAAGCTAGATCTTTTGTTAACTATATTTTTTGTCATTATATTTTAAAATTCTTGTCCTTTAAGTAATCTTCAAACTGTATAACCAAAATGTTTTAAGACCATGGTAAAAATTTATAGATATCATGTAGAGGGATTTACTCTAGCTTTTAATCAGCGATACTCTCTCACTGATTAAAATATTTCCAACTTCTGACTTAGGTACATTTTGAAGGTATATGATTATACTCAGTGGGTATAACTTAATCAAGTGACCAGTAACTTTAATAAAGTAGCTAATACTGCCTTAGTATTTTAAAGAATTAATGTAGCTTTCAGTACGATATTAGGGCATAATTTGAGGAGAGATTTATTGTCAACTAGTAAGGTACTATTAGTCTTGGATATTTTCAGTAGGCAGCTGTAGTTTGTTAATTGTTCATAATTTTAGTGTAACCAATCTTTGAAAATCTATTTGTTTTAATAGAATTCAGAGCCAATGAGCAGACTGTATTCAAAACTGTATAAGGAGGCTGAAAAGATCAAGAAGTGGAAAGTGAATATAGAATTTGAATTGAAGCAGAAAGAAAATAAGTTGCAAGAAAATAGAAAGATAATTGAAGCACAGCGGAAAGCCATTCAAGAACTACAGGTATAATGAGATTTGGAATTGAAAATGTAGTGTAGTAGATTTTGTCATAATAGTGTTTAAAATAGAGTATTTCTGTGGTGTGGATTTTAAGGACAGTACTTTTTTTAAGTTTCAGCGATACTGCATTTCAACTTTAGGATGAACACAGAAGACAAGTTGTACAGAGCTTAATGCAAATGATTAGGGAAATAATAAATTACTTTAGATAAAGATTGATTTAATGATTCTAATTATAGACTTTTAACTTTTTAATTCCTATTACTGATGTTCTGTTTGAAATAAATGTCTTTTATTAATTGGAATATGATATTGGTGGTTAAAACTGTATTTGAAACTATTGAGCTTCAGTTTTGTGGCCTAGTGAAAGAAAAAGGTTGAGAAAATGCACCATTGGGTTAGGACAAAGATAAGACATCATTTAAAAATGTTTAGGGAAGATAATATTGCATTAAAATATTGTTGGATACTTTCTGGAGATGATTCAGCAAACTTGATTTTAGATCTGTGAAAGTGAGACTGTGTTCTTAGGGGAAAATCCATAAGTTGTGACAAAAAAACTTTTTTGTGTGCAAAAAAGTTTTTTACACTTCTTAGTTGTTAGCAAAGAAATGCTGCTTAATAATTATACTCATGTTTATTTTCCTAAGCAAAATGTGATGTACTGTTCTTCTGTTTTGTAAATTAGTTTGAAAATGAAAAAGTAAGTTTGAAATTAGAAGAAGGAATTCAAGAAAATAAAGATTTAATAAAAGAGTAAGTAATCGTTTAATGAATTTGTTCTCTCTAAATTTTATTCCAGATTTATTAAAATAATTTCCAGAAATGTATTGAACGCTTTCTATTATGTATTATATACAGAATTTTACCTGGGTACTGTGGGAGAAGGAAGACGTAGTTACTCTACATTCTTAATGTTTGGCAAACAGTGGTCACTGACTAATAATTTTTCACTTTCTAAAATGTCAGGTAGGAAAAACCATTAATTGGGTGTCAAAAAGGTATCTGATAATTCTGTATTTACAACTGCCTATGTATATTGTCTACCTTTCTGTTGTAGTATTTTAGGTACAGTATTTATAGTGTAAATAGTATAATAGTATAGTAAATAGTATAAATAGTGCTCAATTTAGTTCCAAGCTAATTCTCACTCTCAAGTTCCTGTTTTTGTCAGTGGCCTAATGATTGTTTCATGAACATTAGCTTTAAATTTTAGAGTCATCTTTAACTTTTCCTTTTCTTTGTTCTAGGCAGTAGCTAAGCCTTATTTTATACACTCTTACCTCATCCTCATTCAGATTATATCATATACAATTTATTTATTTATTTATTTATTATTTTTTTTAATAGAAACATATAATTGTTTAATTCATCTGCTAAATAGATATTGAATAGTTAGAATGTAACGTATGGGTCCACAAAGAGTGCAAAACTTTCTTATTCCTACTTGCTTGCTAAATATGGTTTTAGAAGACCTATCACCTTGTCAGTGAAGTTGCTGATAAGTGAAAAGGGCTCTTAATGACAAATTGTTTTAGCCCAAGTGAAAGACAACCTGTGGAGGTGCCTGGCTGGCTCAGTTGGAAGAGCATGTGACTCTTGATCTCAGGGTCATGAGTTCGAGCCCAATATTGGGGTTAGAGATTACTTAAATAAATAAACAAACTTTAAAAAAGGTAACTTATGACTTCCCAGATCAAATTGAAATATTATACTTTAATTTTTTCTCTGCCTACTTGAGGTTTGGTTATTAGGGAGAAGAGAGAGTGAAGAGGAAGTTTCTGACATTGTGTGCCTATTGTATATTTTGTACTTACGGTCACTTTCATAGGGTATGTGACTGAGTTCCTACAGTATCTTACTGTCACCCTAATACCAGTATTTGATAACTTGTGAGCTTTCTTAAGTTTGCTGTTACCTCCATTAATGAACATGTGTATTTTTGTTAACACTGTGACTGTTTAATTACATAGTATATTGTAACGTAGTGTAGCGTGACATAGGAGTTACACCATTTTTTTGAGGTGAGAGGTAGTTTATTTTGGATGGGATCTCCTTCTGTTATAAGCACTTGTTTGAGTTGTGTGTCAGTTTTGCCCTCAAATGCTGAATTGTCATTTGTCATCTGAAAGAACCTTGACGTTTAGGTAAGAGCTTTGTCAAAATGTTGGTGAGAAACAAAGTTGCACTTAAGGTCGAGTGACTTGATTGTTGGATGACAGACTTAATATAAAGTTGCTCAGGACCAGCCTATTCACTGGTCATGACTTTCTAAAAGGGATATAGGTTTGAAAGAGACTTTGGGTATTTCAAAACCATATGCCTGGCCTGTAGTAGAAGTTTGAGAGGGAATGGACACTTTAATTTATTGACAGTTTTGAGCAGGAAAAGACTTTTGAGATAGTTTAGATAATTTGGGAGGGATTTTTTTTTTTTTTTTGAGTGGAGTGCAGGACCTTATATGTGATTTTATTTCCATATATTAGTGTCTCAATTTTCAAATTTCAGCAGTCAAACCTGAAGCATCCACAATTACATAATTCAGAAATTACTTTAAAAAGCAGCATTTGTCAGACTCCTATCTGGGATTTGTTTAGATAATTTGATGAATTAAACCCTTATCTAGCCCTGTGGCATGCATGTGATAGTGATAGTTATCAGAGAAGAGAAGGCTTTCTATAGATGAGGATGTCCAAAGGACGAATAGGAATTAACCAGGAGGAGAATTAGAGGTTGCGACTCTGGCATTTTGTGACAAGCTAGAGTTTTGATTTTATCTTGAAGTGGGGTGGGAGGGTAGGGCTGAAGAAGAGTGGGCTGAAGAAAGGCTGATTGGCTATAGCTATGGCTCCCTTCAACAAGAATAGTTTTATTTTTTAAGTATAATTTAAAATCTTGTGTATCCAGTTAAGATTTCATTTTGTAAGAGAATTTTGGTTCTAGAAAAAAAAAAGATTGAAAATTGCTGCAGATGGTTGTTTTGAAGCCAGTGAAGGGTTTTCAGAATTCTAAAATTGAGCCATTGTGAATACAGAGTAGACTTGAAATATTTGATTGGATGATTGCTTGTATATGGATGTATGGCTAGTTTTATACCAAGCTGTGCTGCTCAAAGGGTCTTTGTGGTTTGGGGAGCGTATTGCTAAAGACACTTTTGTCCTTTACCTCTCACCATAGATTAGCAGGAAGAGGCTGAAGTTGTTTTTTCAAACTGTAATTGAAAAATTAGGTTTATGGTCACTTGTTCTGATTTTTATAAAACCTCTAACAAAAAAGACCCTCTCTAGACCAGTGGTTCTCAAATTTTAGCAAGCATCTAAATTATCTGCAGAGCTTGGGGTGCCTGAGTGGCGCATTCGGTTGAGCGTCCGACTTCAGCCAGGTCACGATCTCGCGGTCCGTGAGTTCAAGCCCCGCATCAGGCTCTGGGCTGATGGCTCGGAGCCTGGAGCCTGTTTCCGATTCTGTGTCTCCCTCTCTCTCTGCCCCTCCCCCGTTTATGCTCTGTCTCTCTCTGTCCCAAAAATAAATAAAAAACGTTGAAAAAAAATTTTTTTAAAAAAATTATCTGCAGAGCTTGTTAAAGAATATACTGTTGTCCTCCCTGCCCCCCCCCCCCCCCCCCCCCGAATTTCTGATTCAGTGGGGTAGGGCTTCAGAATTTGCCTTTCTAACAAGTGATGTGGATGCTACTGGTCCAAGGATCATACTTTGGGAGCTACTACTCTGTACTAGAGAACAGTCATAGGCTTTAAAAATAAAGCAAACCCACCTTTTCTCTGACTGGCTTATTTTTCTTAGCGTTATACTCTCTAGATCCATCCATGTTGTTGAAAATGGCAAAATTTCATTCTCTTATGACTGAGTGATAGAATGTTCCATTTGTGTGTGTGTGTGTGTGTGTGTGTGTGTGTGTGTGTGTGTGTGTGTGTATGTATGTGCATACACCACATCTTCTTTATCCGTTCATCTATCAGTGGCCACTTGGGCTGCTTCCATATTTTGGCTATTTTAAAGTTGCAATAAATATAGGACTGTGTATATCCCTTCAAATTAGTGTTTTTGTGTTCTTTGGGTAAATACCCAGTAGTGCTATTACTGGATCATATGGTAATTCTGTTTTTAATTTTTTGAGCAACCTCCATACTGTTTTCCACAGTGGCTGCAACAGTTTGCATTCCCACAGTGCATAAGGTTCTTTTTTCTCCACATTTTCTCCAGCACTTGTTGTTTCTTGTGTTTTTGATTTTAGCCATTCTGACAGGTGGCATGATTTTGATTTGCATTTCCCTGTTGATTAGTGACATTGAGCATCTTTCAAGTGTCTGTTGGCCATCTGTATGTCGTCTTTGGAGAACTGTTTATGTCTTCTGCCCATTTTTAAATTTGGTTACCAGGTTTTTTGTGTGTGTTGAATTTTATAAGTTCTTTGTATATTTTGGATACTAACCCTCTATCAGATATGTCATTTGCAAATATCTTCTCCCCTTCAGTAGGTTGTTTTTTAGTTTTGTTGATTGTTTCCTTTGCTGTGCAAAAGCTTTTTATTTTGATGTCCCAATAGTTTATTTTTGCTTTTGTTTCCCTTGTCTCAGAAGACATATCTAGAAAGATGTTTTATGGCTGATATGCCTGTGCTCTCTTCTAGGGCAATCAACAAAAATAAATAAAAGGCATCCAAATTGGAAAGAGTTTTATGATTTTAGGTCTCACATTTAAGCCTTTCAAAAATCCATTTTGAATTTGTTTTTGTGGATAGTATAAGAAAGTGGTCCAGTTTCATTCTTTTGCATGTAGCTGTCCACTTTTTCCATTACCATTTGTTGAAGAGACTTTTTTCCCATTACATATTCTTGCCTCCTTTGTTGAAGATTAGTTGACCACATAATTGTGGGTTTGTTTCTGGGTTTTATATTCTGTTCCCTTAACCTGTGTGTCTCTTTTTGTGCCAGTACCACAGTTTTGATCACTATATTTGTAGTAGCAGTTGAAATCTGGAATTGTGATACCTCCAGCCTTCACTCCTGTGGAATTTAAGAAACAAATGAACAAAGGAAAAAAAAGCAAACCAAAAACAGAGAACAAACAGATGGTTACCAGAGGTGAGGTGGGTGGGAGGTGGGTGAAATAGGTAAAGTGTATTAAGAGTACATTTATCATGAGCACTGAGTAATTTCCGGAATTGTTGAATCACTGTATTATAAACCTGAAACTAATATAACACAGTGTGTTGACTACTCCTGAATTAAAATAAGTAAAACATTTTGAAAAAGCAGAGAAAAAAACCACACTTGATTTCAGTGATTTCTTAGCTTTTTCATTTATTAGATTATTGAAAATGTCAAAGGATATGGTCTATGTAATAATCTTTTGCTTTTTACTAAACTAATATGTAGATTTAAAAACTCAAAAGTTTATTTTTATTTATTTTTCAGAGAGAGAGCATGCCCATGCAAGTGAGAGAGGGGCAGAAAGAGAGGGAGACAGAATCCCAAGCAGGCTCTGTGCTCTGAACACAGAGCCCAGTGCAGGACTTGAACTCATGGACAGTGAGATCATGACCTGAGCTGAAATTGAGATCCACACTTAGTGACTGAGCCACCCAGGTGCCGCTAAAAATCATTATTAATGAGAGGCACCTGGGTGGCTCGTCGGTTCAGAGTCCGACTTCAGCTCAGGTCATGATGTCATGGTTTGTGCTGCTGTCAGCACAGAGCCCACTTTGGATCCTCTGTTCCCTTCTCTCTGCCTCTCCCCTGCTTGCGCTCTCTCAAAAATAAATAAATATAAAAACACCCCAAAAATAATTATTAATGATTAATTTGTAACAGTTCATTTCTATGGAAAATTTATAAGGTGGAAAATTATATCTAACTGTTGAATATATGATTACTTCATGTTATCTAGAGGTCTTTTTTCCCTTTTCTTTCTTTTTTAAAAATTTTCATTAACATGTAATGAGATTTGGAATATATACAACTACATTGTATTGAACTTTCTAAAAAAGTTTATTGGTATAATTTATCTATGACATTAATTTTAGGTATGAAACATAATTATTGGATATATGTATAGCAAAATGACAGCAAATATATTCTCCCATTTAGTAGGTTGTCTTTTCATTTTGTTGGTAGTTTCCTTGGCTGTGCAGAAGCACTTATTTATTTTTGTTTTTTTATTATTATTTTTTAAATACTGATCATGTATTGATTTCAGTTGTCATGGCTTTTTTTAAATAATTATTTTTAATGTTTATTTATTTTTGAGAGACATGGAATGCGAGCAGGGGAGGGGCAGAGAGAGAGGGAGACAGAATCCGAAGCAGTCTCCAGGCTCTGAGCTGTCAGCACAGAGCTGGGTGTTGGGCTCAAACCTACAAACCTTGAGATCATGACCTGAGCTAAAGTCGGTACTTAACCAACTGAGCCACCCAGACACCCCCAGAAGCTTTTAAATTTGATGTGGTCCCACTTGTTTATTTTTGCTTTTGTTGCCTTTGCTTGTGTCAAATCCAAAAAAATCATTTCTAAGATTGATGTCAAGGAACTTACCACCTATGTTTTCTTCTAGGAGTTTTATGGTTTCAGGTCTTATGTTCAAGTCTTTAGTCCATTTTGAGCTGATTTTGTGTACGCTATAAGATAGTGGTTCCATTTTCCCAGTGGCATTTATTTATTTCAAACAATTTTTAATGTTTATTTATTTTTGGGAGACAGGGAGAGAGCACGAGCAGGGGAGAAGCAGAGAGAGAGAGAGAAAAACGCAGAATCAGAAGCAGGCTCCAGGCTCTGAGCTGCAGCACGGAGCCCAACACAGGGCTCAAACTCACGAACTGTGAGATCATGACCTGAGCCCAAGTTGGATGCTTAACTGATGGAGCCAGCCACCAAGGTGCCCCTTCTCAACACCATTTATTGAAGGGACTCTCCTTTCCCCGTTGTATATTCTTGGCTCCTTGGTAATGAACTCACTGACCATATATGCATGGGTTTGTTTGTTTTGTTGATTTATGTGTCTGTTTTTATGCTAATACCATACTTTTGAAAAACTTTTTAAATTCCAGTTAGTTAACATACAATGTAATATTAGTTTCAGGTGTACAATACAGTGATTCAACACTTCCATGCAGTACTTGGTGCTCATCCCAACAAGTGTACTCCTTAATCCCCGTCACCTATTTAACCAGTTCCCCCCTCCTCCCAGACTGTTTTGATTACTCTAGTTTTGTCATACAGTTTGAAATCAGGAAGTGTGATTCCTCTAGCTCTTCTTTCTCAAGTTTGCTTTGGCTCTTTGGTGATATCATACAAATTTTAGGTTTGTTCTGTATCTGAAAAATGCCATTGAAAATTTGGTTGGGATTGCATTCTGTGAATTGTTTTGGGTAGTGTGATATTTATAAGAAAAATATATTTTGTCATTCAGATGAGCAAATCTGTATTTCTCATATAAATATACACACACACACATATATATGTGTATATATATATACATATATATATGTATATATATTTGGTTTTCATCCACCATTCCTGGCTCATAGCTTCCAAAACCCTTGGAATTTCCTAAGTGCTAAGAGTGACAAAAGTATCTCTTATTATGTTAATGAGATGACTTTTGGAACCTACTTAAGGATGAGGTTGGCTGCCAGGAGAACCCACCATGTGATTAGAGGGTTGGAACTTACAGTCCCTCTCCACCCCTACTCCCCCCCCCCCCCCCCCCCCCCCCCCCCACCTTGGTAAGGGGAAGAGGGTCTGGAAGTCGAATCTGTCATCATTGACCAATGATTTAATCAATCATGATTATGTAACTTAGCCTTCATGAAAACCCAAGAGGACAGGGTTCAGGAAAACTTTGAGCTTGGTAAAGAGATTTGAAGAGAGTGATGAGCTCAGAGAGAGAGCATGGAAGCTCCCCACCCTTTCCCCATGCCTGTCCCTATGCATCTCTTTTATCTATTTCTGACTTATATTCTTTTATAATAAACTAGTAACATGGCAAGTGAATTGTTTCTCAGTGTTCAGTGAGCTGCTCTAGCAAATTAATTGAACCTAAGGAACCTCAGATTTATAGGCAGTTTGTCAGAGGTATAGGTAACAATCTGAGCTTGTTACTGGTGTCTGAAAACTAAGGAGTGAGTCATGGGAATTTTTTAGTTATAGCCAGTTGGACAGAAGTGTAGGTAACAACTTGGGCTTGCAACTGGTCAAGTAGGGCTGGGGGAACAGCAGTTTTGTAGGACCGAACCCTTAACTTGTAGAATCTCAAGTGGGGCTGGGGGAACAGCAATTTTTGTAGGACCGAACCCTTAGAATCTGAGGCTATCTCCAGGTAGGTAGTGTCAGATTGAATTGAATTGTGGTACACTTAACTGGTATCCTAAGAATTGCTTGTTGGTCCCAAGAATTGAACCGCTGCCCCTCCACATTGGAATTGGTATTAGGACCCATTTAGGTAATGTGGACATTTTAACAATATTCTTCTAATCTATGAGCATGGAATATCTTTCCATTTATTTGTGTCTTCAATTTCTTAATGTATTATAGTTTTCAGTACACAGGTCTTTAATTTCCTTGGTTAAATTTAATCCTAGGTATTTTATTCTTTTTGATGCAACTGTAAATGGGGTTGTTTTCTTAATTTCTCCTTCAGATAGTTCATTATCAGTGTACACAAATGCAGCTGATTTTTGTGTATATTGATTTTTTAATATCCTACACACTTCACTGAACTGGTTTTTTAGTTCTAACAGTTTTCTGGTGTTTCTGGTGGGGTCTTTAGAGTTTTCTCTATATATCATGTTAAGAGTTTCTTTTTCCTTTCCAATTTGGATGCCTTTTTTTTTTTTTTTTTTTTTTTTTTTTTTTTTTTTGATACCTTTATTTTCTTGCCTCATTGCTCTGACTAGTTCTTCTAATACTATGCTGAATAAAAATGGTAAGAGGGGGTATTCTTGTCTCGTTCTGATCTTAGAGGAAAAGCTTTTGGCTTTTTACTGTTGAATATGATGCAAGCTGTGTACTTGTCATATATGGCCGTTATTATGTTGAGGTACATTCTCTTTATACCCAACTTTGTTGAGAGTTTTTATCACAAATGGATATTGAATTTTATTAAATGCTTTTTCTGCATCTATTGAGATGATCAGAGGTTGTCTTATTCATGTAATGAAAGGCTAGTCAGAAAATTACCTGTTTACTGTTTTGAGGGTAAGACAGCTAGAGTATATGTGGGGTAATTAGTAAATGAAAAGCCCTACCCTCTTTTCTCATATTTTTTCTTCTGCAAATCTAGAACTGTTTACTGAAGGGTTATTGATAGCTATTTGGGTAGAAACTTGTTAAGGAACTATCCTTTTTACTTTAAAGGGAAGCAGTTACTAAATCATCTTTGCTAATAGTGCAGTCAACCCATTTTTTTTTCATATAGTCATTTATGAGGGATGTGATATATATATTAAAGTATTATAAGACTTTCTTCAAAAATTATAAAAATAATGTTTCATAACTTTTATATATGATTTTGCTTTGAGATCAGATTGCACTTACACAGACTCTTTGCTTTCTTTCAGGAATAATGCTACAAGGCATTTATGCAATTTACTCAAAGAAACCTGTGCCAGATCTGCAGAAAAGACAAAGAAATGTAAATATTTTTCTTGTTTTATGTGATTTTCTCAATTTGTTATTATTTAAAAAAATTTTTTTAATGTTTATTTTTGAGAGAGAGACAGAGTGGGGGAGGAGCAGAGAGAGAGGAAGACACAGAGTCAGAAGCAGGCTCCAGGCTCTGAGCTGTCAGCACCTAGCCCAAGCCCGATGTGGGGCCCAAACTCACAAACCGTGAGATCATGACCTGAGCTGAAGTCAGATGCTCAACCAACTGAGCCACCCAGGCACCCCGTCAACTTATTATTATTTTAATGGAGAAGGGAAGAAATTGTTTTTTCACTTTTTGGAGCCAACTTTGATTTGAACAAGTTACATGTGCCTCATACCATTTCTTTGCATAAGTAGTAATTTGATTCTCAGTTCTTTGAGCTTTCAAAGCTCAAAGTTTTTTTGAAAGATAATTTATTTCAAAAGCTATATATCTGACATTTGTAGTTCTTATTTCAGTTAAAATGTGATCTTGAGACTAACCTTTCTGTCTGGAACAACCAGCATATTGAATTTTGATGCATAACCATGTTGATAATAGAAACTACTGGTGGAGGGCTATGCTGAAGGCATAGTACTTAAGAGTAGTGCAATATTTATTTCCTATCTAAATAGAATTCTCAAGTTTCTCCTAAAGAAACATGCTTTTAAAATATTCAAATAAGGTTGTGGTATATATATGAAAGTACACCTTTTCATTGTATGCATATTTTGATTTTACTTGTAGGAATTTTTTTTCATTTTGATGAAAAACAAATTTTATTTTCAAAAATAATACTTTCATCTTTGTCATTATTTTCACACTAGCTCTACTTTGTTTCTGCCAAGAATCTATTAGGATATACTGTCTAGCTGCTTTTTCAGGATAGCTAAAATTTTAGTGTCACACAGCTTATTGCTTAAGAGCCTGGGCTTAAGAGTTAGGTTGCTGTCTACTTGACCTTGGATAAGTTATATAATCTCTGATCCACTGTTTATTGGTTAATAAAGTGCCTCTTAGTGTTGTTTTGATAATTAAATTTGTTAATAAATATAAATTGCTTGTAACAGTGCAAAGTGCTCCACCCCTCCTCCTCCCTCTTCTTTTTTCTTTTTCTTCTTTTCCTCCTCCTCCTCTTTTCCTTCCCCCTCTCCTCTTCCTTGTCCTCTTTCTTTCTTTCTTTCTTTCTTTCTTTCTTTCTTTCTTTCTGTCTTTCTTTCTAGTATGCACCATTGCTAGTGTTTTTAATTCTTTTTCCCTGCACATAGTACTTTGCTTTTAGAACTATATATATTTTCCAGAATGTAGTGTACCACTATCAGCTCCTCCACTGCATCCCGTTTATTCAGCTTTCAATATTAGCTTTCCCATCTATGTATAAAAAATGGTGAAAAGTATACACTGATGGGTGTAGAGGGATTGTGTGTTGACTGCTTTGTAGAAAGTAACCTGGGCCATAGAGACAAGGCTGCTAGGTTTTTTTTTTCCTCTGTTTAGTTTTATATTCTCTAAGTCAGAGATAGATGGTGGGAGAGGTTTGAAGAATCTTTAAAAAGATTTTTAGGTGATTTCTTAAATGAACCGATGAGTGTATCTTGATATGATGTGTAGATCGGTTTTTCCTATACAAAGTCTTTACACTTATTAATGTAAACTCCATCTAGATTCTTCCTGAAGTCTTTCCTTTTGCTATTGGATTTTTCTGTCTCATTTATTCATTCGCCAGCTTTTAAAGTGTCTACTTTGGGTCATGAAATATTCTGAATGCTGAGGAAAACAGCAATGAACAGTTTCTGCTTTTAAGGAGGATACATCCTAGTGGAGGGACACAGACCATAAACAAATATATGTTGGGTGATGGTAACTACTTAAGGAGAGAGTATTTTGGGATAGGGTGATTGGGGAAGTATTTTAGGGACCCTAGTAAGTGTGTGTGTGTGTGTGGGCGGGGGGTGAGCCATGTAGTTATTTTGGGAAATAGTAAGTGCAAAGTCCCTTAGATGAAAGCCTGTTTAATCTTTTCAAGTCAGTGAGGCCACTGTGCTGTTACCTTTCATATTTCTGCCTTGTATATGTTTTTCATCTTTTTTCTTGTGTGCCATTCGGGAACATTTCTTCTAATCTCTCTTCTAGTACACTAATTCTCTTTTTAGCTAGTTCTAGTTTGTTTTTTAATTCATTAGTCAAAGTTTCAATTTTTGTTATTGCATTTTCTGGTTTTGTATATATTAGCTGGTCTTAAAAATATCTGTAGTGTCACTTTTTAGACTTTCAGGTTTGTTGCTGAAATTTTTCTTTAACATAAAGTTGATGCACAATGCTACATTAGTTTCAGGTGTGTAACATTGTGATTTAATATGCGATGTTCACCACTAGTGTTCCTTGCTGAAATTTTTAAGTTCAGCTTTTTTTTTTATCTCCATGAACATAATAAATTAAACATTATTTTATTAAGGTTTTAATAAAGTTTATTAAAGGGGTCTATTCTGGTGTGTTGTCCTCTACATTCTACTTCTTGTTTATCTCATTGTGTACTTCATTATCCATGATTATTTGCTTGAGACCTAGAATGGTGTCACATTTTCCTGGTTCTTTGAATGTTGAAAAGTTTTGATTATATCCTGGACATTTTGAAATTATATGTTGTGAGAATCTGGGTCCTTTTAAAATCCCCAGGACAATGTATGTATGTTTGTTTATTTTTTAGCAGTTTGTCAACTCCAGATCAGATCACAAGTTCTGTCTTGCCTTTTGTGTGCTGGGTTCCAGTATCAGTTCAGTTTTCAAAGCCTTTGGTATACTGCTCTGGCTCTGTTTCTTGTATGCTCCACTCAAGATTAGGTCTGGGATGTGGGTAGTGGTTTATATTGGAGTTTAGTTTTCAAAGTCCTTGCTGTATTTGTTTTGGGTCTGTCTTGTACATGTATATTCTCTCAATTTTCCCATGGGACTCATATCATAATTTAGGTAATCCTCTTTTGGAGCTGTCTTTAAGATTTCTCCCCCATGCTCATCCTTGGGCCCATTTTCCCTGCCCGTTGGCTGTAAATGTGGAATTTCTTTTGGGGTTTTGTATGTCCTTGCTGCCATGGCTGCTACTATTCCACTACTAGGGCCATTTTGGGGACAGGGCTGTGAGGGGGAAAAAAAAGAAAAAAATCAGGATTTCCTTTTGCTGCTCATGTTTCCTGTTACAGTTCTGCTGGGGCCTTACACTTTGGCTACTGTTAGGAGGGAAGATAGGAAAAAACCTAAACAGGAAACTCACCTTCACATGAGTCATTTCTTTAAGATTTTACTTTTTGTCTCCAATATATCTGCCTTTGCTTACTTTTCAGAGTCCTAAAGTAGTTGCTTTATGTATTTCATTCAGGGATCTTAGCTGTAAGCAATGGGAGAGAAAAGCTATAGTGGAATTACTTCATCTTGACTGGCACTGGAAGTTGGTTTGGTGTTTTTGAATTATAACCCTCAATCTATTCTTGGCCTGATTATGTTTTCATCATTATGTTTTTAGATCTTTGATTCCTTTAAGAATTAAAAGAGGGGCGCCTGGGTGGCGCAGTCGGTTAAGCGTCCGACTTCAGCCAGGTCACAATCTCACGGTCCGTGAGTTCGAGCCCCGCGTCGGGCTCTGGGCTGATGGCTCGGAGCCTGGAGCCTGTTTCCGATTCTGTGTCTCCCTCTCTCT